GTTGTTGCAGAGATCTTTGCTGGGTAGTAAATAGAGGTTGCGTTGTCTTGCTTTGATGTTACACTGTGGTTTGCATATTTGAGTCATCTTGTGGATTATATTGGAGTTATGGTTGTTTTCAGGTAGTAGTAAAAATGGGAGCGGCTTTTGTATTAATGCTGGTGGAATTGTTAATAATAATAATAATAAGTCTTTATTAAGCACTCTAAACAACAAACGTGTTTAGTTACAATGATATGAAATCAGCAAGTATAAAACTAATAAACTAACTAAATTACTAACTGAATAACTAATAAGAGAACAAACATCTATTAATAAAGGTCCTTTTGAAACGTTCAGTTCTGACAAGCGGGAGAATATAATTATGGCGCCTCTTACGTAGCGTATCCATTTTTTCGCTCTGGTGGCAAAAGGTCATCTAAAGCTGTTGGAAAATCGCTGTCGGTGATCTTGGCCCACAACTTCTTATCTTTTAGAATGATAATATTTTCAATCGAAAAAAGCTCTTTACAGTAGCCAAGCTTAAAAGCTCTCTTGAACAGCCTGTCTATGCGACTCAGATACTTATGATAATACGCGCAGCCCCATACTTCTACAGCATATGTAAATATAGGTAGAATAAGACTGATAAAGAGAAGATGAAGATGATCCAGCGGCAGTCCATAGAATTTACAAACACGTAAGATGTACAGACGACTACTGGCTTTCGATATAATATTATCAAAATGTAAGTCCCAGTTACACGGATCAGATTGAAAAGTTACACCCAACAACTTCAGACATGGTTTACGCTCTATAGAAACCAGAGGAGCAGGTAAGGCCTTAGTGGATTTGGATTTGCCTCTAAGAAGCATCTCCCACGTTTTCTTGAAGTTTAGTTGCATACGATTAGCAGATGTCCATGCGACGATCCATCGGACCTCCTCAGCTGCTAAATTGCCGTTATTAGCCAGCGATTTTACTGGAATACTTAATGTTAAATCATCAGCATATTTCACAAGTAAATTCTGATTTGGTAGAATGGCCTTAATATCATTGACCATAATAGAAAATAGTATAGGGCCTAAAACTGTCCCCTGAGGGACACCTCTATTGATATTTACATAGTCCGTGACAATGGCATCAACAACAACTCTTTGTTTCCTGTTCTGTAAAAACTAATAATCCAATTGGTCACGTATGGATTTATATCAAGTGTTTTCAACTTAGAGCAGAGGATATCATGAGGGACCGAATCAAAAGCTTTGCTGAAATCAAAAGAGAAGATTCTAACACAATCAAAACCCGACTCAAGCCATTTCAGCCAAGCATATTGACACTTAATTAAGGCCATTGTCGTATTGTGGCCTTTGCGGTATGCAAACTGGTCGAAGCTAATGAAGTTCTTCATATATTGAGATAATTCTTGTCTGTATACAAGACGTTCAAAAACCCTCATTATTACATTAGTCAGCGAAATAGGCCGCAACTGTGTGCAATTTTTAAAGTTGGGCTCTTTAGGCAAGGGAGTTATGTCGGCCAATTTCCAAAGATCAGGCACAATGTGATTTTCCAAAGAACAGTTGAAAATATGGGTAACAACAGGAGCGAGGTCGTACGCAAACTCTTTCCAAAACCAGTACGGGATTCCATCTGGACCAGAGGCAGTTCTTTTTAATTTCAGTAGACTCCTGGTAACACTGGAGACCGTTAAAACAGGCATCTCGCTTGATTCCGGGATAGTGACAGTGTCAATGGGTTTATAAAGGGGATCAGTGTTAATGGAACAGAAAAAAAATTATTGATCTCGCTCGGGGAGATAATTGAGCTTACTTGCGAGTTGGTAGACTTCCTTCCTGTTAGGGAATTGACTGTTGACCACCAAGATTTGGATCCTGCACTATGTTTCTCAAAATTCCCTTTAACTGCTCGAACTTGATTATCTCTGATCAACTTGTTGATTTTCTCTTGAAGAGTTTGGATCTCAATCGAAACAGAATTTCCTGACATGTTACTTCGCCGAATCAATTTTCGCCGTTGGTCCAGTAGATGTTTGATTAGAGGAGAAAAGAACGGAGGGTCCCTATTAGACACACGTACTGATATACCCGGAAAACACTCATCAAACATGGTCTTAATCTTAGTACAAAAAAGATTAAGTTTTCCATTCACATCTCCGCATTGATAAACATTGTCCCAGTTATGAAACTTCAACAGTTTATCCATATCCAGTTTATGATGATCACGAACATCTCTGAACATCACAGTTTTCCTTTCAGCCTTAAGTGGGATTCTGGGATATACCAGGACCACAGAGTGGTCAGATCGAACTAGTCCTTGAGTGACCGATACTTTCCTCCAAAAATGTGGGACGTTAGTAATCAAAACATCCAAAATTTTGTTCTTTCTTGTCGGTGTATTTACCATCTGGAATAAATTTAGTTGTGTAAGAAAATCATTGTAATCTAGCTGATTGAGGTCACCACAAATTATAAGGTTGCTGTTAGGATTACCAGTCAATAAATGATCACAACTATTTGTTAGATGTTCCAATAAATCATCAGGACAATATGGCGGATCTGGAGGATGATAAACAGCAGCCACATAAAAGCTTGAGTTGGGAGTTGTAATTTTAGCCCACAAACATTCAAAGGCATTATAAAAAAAACGCTGTCTAATCGTTCCAACAACCAATCGCTCCTACAGACAATAGCAACACCACCGCCTGACCGGTCAGTTCTATCCTTTCGCAAAATTGAGTAATCCTTCGGACAAACGAGATGAGATGGAAAATTTGGTTTAAGCCATGTCTCGGAGATGATGCAAATATCGCAGTTGTTTGAGTGCAATTCCATATGCAAAGCAGAAGCAGCATCAACTTTCACAAGTGATCTTGCATTAATGACCATACATTTGGGGATTATTCGGGGTAAAGAAGAAGAGTGAGTAGAAATGAAGTGCAAATTTGTATCCTTGGGTCGAAGTCGTGCGCGTTTGGTCGTTGATAAAAAACAGTGGGCAGTGACACGAACTGGAATCTTGTGATGTTGTTGACGAGATCCAAATCTAGAATTAACACCAGCTCTACGACCTCTAGCTCTATAAATTCCCAATGACTTTAAGCGATGAATAAGATAATAATCCAGTTTAACCTTAGGACAACAGGAGCGAAGTTGAAATAAATTACGTCGACTGAAAGAAAATCTAGGTCTTGAAGTTTGAAGTGAAGCAGTCGGCATGTAGTTAAAATTTTCCGGACCCGGGTTAATTTCAACATCCACTGCAATAGATAGGTCCTTGATGAAACCTCTTTCAGACAGAGCAGCAACCGTCGAACCATGCTTTGACCATTTGGTGATCGGTAACTTAGTTGAGCGTCTTGCAACAGCAAGGTCTTGACCGCAGCGAGAAGCAGAAAATAGCTTTCGACTGACGCTAAAAGGGCCTTTAAAGGTAGATGGAGGCGAACAGATTGAATTGTGCTTGTCAAGATACTGAACGAACAAGGTAACAAAGCACAAAAGCTTAAAAAAACAACAACGACGACAGTAAGCGGCAGCCATCTTGGCGCACATACATGCGGTAATGACATACGTTGTTGGACTTGTCCTTGCTCTGGAGACTGGAGCTGCTCTTAAATCACTGGAGATTCTTTTATTAAAAAGAGTCATTATTTGCCAATTGTCATAAAGTCCTAAAGTCAGAAAAAAAGAAACACTTGTATCTTCGATTAAACCTTGTTTATTATGTGCTGGTCTCGAAGCGTCAGAAACTATATACAAGTAATTTGATATAAAACAGATGAATCACAATCAAGCCATAAAATTAAGGTGTGTCCTGTACAAACAAAACCGCAGACGTGTGACTAAAGGTTACATAAAGAAATTGATTACAAATAAGCGTGGCTGTTCATAACACCAATTGAAGTGACTATGGTTTCAGTGGTGGTGATATTGGCTTAATGCCTATGGCTTTGCTTTTTATTGTATTGAGCATGACTTGATTTTCTGTGTCACTTGATTGTTAGTGATGGTTGTAGTTCTCATGTGGTAGCAGTTTCGGAAGCACTGTTAGCTGGGGGATGTTGGGGGTTAAGGGTTAGAGGTATATGTGCGACATTTTTTTCATCTCTTCGCCAATAAATTATAGGGAAGTGATGTTTGTCGCAGTGGTAGTTGGTGATGTTATTGCAATTACTACTCCTAAATCAATTTTAATACTTACCTATGCAGTAGTTATTTGGCAGTGTTAAAGGTGGTAATGTTCTAGAACGTGAGCATCTACACTCGAGAGGCTTGAATTTAATTGGCGGTGATTTTGAGGACATAGCTGTTTCGGGATTTCTGTTTGTAGCAGCACAGCTAACTTAGTTGCTGTACTTTGGCAGCTGTTCCTCAGGAACAACTTGTAGTAGACACTAATGTCCAGTATTACCTTCCTTTGTTAGCATCGATAAACAATTTAGAAGTTGTAATGATCAATTGGTTTGAGATACAGGCTGGTTTCATTACTAGTGTGGGAGAGGTCTTAGATTGGTAGATGTCAAGAAGATGGCCTTGCTTAAAATATTCAAGTGTATAATCACACTCTATGTCGAAACTGGTACATTGAGGGCACATTGCATTCCATTAGGAATCAAACGTCAACCAGCCAGAACTGACTGAGTTTAAGGCCCTCGAGAAGAAATGAAAATTCCTTTTGCTGATTCCTTTCACTTTAAACGTTCAAATCACATTTTATTTCTTCTGTTTCTGTCTCTGGTTGTTACTTTGTAAAAACTGAATAAAAAAAGTCATTCTTAATCTAAAAAGTGGGTTGAGATTAAATATCTCAGATTAAATCTCTTAATGAGTTCTTTCGTTGGTGTTCCGTGCTCCAAAGGATTTACAAAATGACCTTACGATTTGAACCCTTTCCCGGTCTCAATTGGCTATTGAGGATTTCTTTTTTTCAAATGGGTTTGATTGATACAACTTAATATCAATTCCTTGTTTGCAGGTCATCCTGGTAAAGTCAGGTTCATGGCTACGGCTTCATCGTCATTCGCGTCTACGAAAGAGACTACCAACTATGCAAGGCTATGCCGCCTCCTGGTGGATGTTGGATCTCAGGTGCTCCAGTCCACTTTTGACAAAATACATCCACCAGCGACTCTACATACAGTTTTGGGAAGTACCTCAGTGCATTACGCTACATTGCAATCACTGTACAGAGGAAGGAGGAAAGTGCTGAATCCCACGCAGTGGGGGAAGTTGTACCCTACTCACTCACCCGTGTCTTCTGCAACCTTCGATATCACTCTTCTAACGGTGCTTCTTAGAAATATCTGTGGTTTGGGCCCTCCTGCCAATGGATGGGATCGTCTTCCCCTAGCCACAAGTATAAGCATCTCTGATGACATAGCCAGAGTTAAGTATTACAGGAACACTGTATACGCCCATGCTTCTCAAGCCTCTGTGGATGACAGTAGTTTCAGTTGTTACTGGCAGGAAGTAAGAGAAGCTTTGGTGAGACTGGGAGGAGCTCATTTTAGAGCTAAAATCTACAATCTTGAGCACGACTCCATGGATCCAGATATCGAGGAGCATTTTCGTGAACTGATGATACAATGGAAGAAAGACGACGACAGCATCAAAGAAAAGCTTGAAGAAATTGAAGGTAAGAAAAACATTATCCGCTACCAATGTGGATGAATCAGAAGGCTACAAAAGTATATATTTCTAGTTAACACGGTAGTGTTGGCTAGGTCATGATATTTTTATTTTAGTCGGAAGGTATATTTGTGTTATGTGTGTAAAATGAAGAATTAACCCAATTTTTTGACACTGTTTTCATTTGCAGTATTTTTGTCTGTTCGTGGGTACTCGTGTACAACTGCTGGAGTGCATTTTTGTGTTTTCAAAGCGTCTTATTGAAATTGATCTTTTCGGAATCGACTAAATATTGATATACGTATCATTGTTTTACCAGCACCTAACGTGAAGCTGTGATATAAATTTACTCATGACACTGCACATACCTTTTGAAATTTTCAGATTCGCTGGAAAACATGAGAAGCATTATGGAGAGATACTTCAGAGTCACAACTAACAAGATAGAGATTAAAATGAAAGAGGTGAAAGAAAAGCTTACTAGTCTGATAGCCTCAGCTGAAAAAAGCACACAAGAAGGTTAGTTCGTAGAGAGAGCTACTCACAGAAAAAAAATTGTTAAAAGTGACACTGTTTTCTTAAGTACATAACGCAGCTCTTGTGCATGACGACGGTAATCGCTGGATGTCGGCCAACACAGCATATTTTAGTACTTTACTGATTTAAGCGCACACCCTGGCCACCCCACGCACTGGCTCTACATGAAGATACTATGTAATGTGTAGAATGCCACGGAAGCTTAGATTTTCTGCCCTGGCTGCCTCTCGAATTTGATGGTATTTTGACAGTGACGGAAAGCGTGACATAGCATGACATAACGTGACCAGAAAGCATTACTATTATTAATATTAAGTGAAAGACAATCTCCTTTGAACATTAGACTTGATTGCGAAACAGTGTAATAAGATCGGCTTTTAAGGGGTGTGTGTTTTGAGAGAGAGAGAGAGCGAGATAGCGAACCGAAGATATCTGTAATCGGGGATAACAACAGTAAACCAGTTTGAGATTTAAACCTGTGACTTATTTGTCGGGTAACCGAAGTGTCAAATAGGGGGAGAGTAGTGACGGAAAGCGTAACATAGCATGACATAACGTGACCAGAAAGCATTACTATTATTAATATTAAGTGAAAGACAATCTCCTTTGAACATTAGACTTGATTGCGAAACAGTGTAATAAGATCGGCTTTTAAGGGGTGTGTGTTTTGAGAGAGAGAGAGAGCGAGATAGCGAACCGAAGATATCTGTAATCGGGGATAACAACAGTAAACCAGTTTGAGATTTAAACCTGTGACTTATTTGTCGGGTAACCGAAGTGTCAAATAGGGGGAGAGTAGTGACGGAAAGCGTAACATAGCATGACATAACGTGACCAGAAAGCATTACTATTATTAATATTAAGTGAAAGACAATCTCCTTTGAACATTAGACTTGATTGCGAAACAGTGTAATAAGATCGGCTTTTAAGGGTGTGTGTTTTGAGAGAGAGAGAGCGAGATAGCGAACCGAAGATATCTGTAATCGGGGATAACAACAGTAAACCAGTTTGAGATTTAAACCTGTGACTTATTTGTCGGGTAACCGAAGTGTCAAATAGGGGGAGAGTAGTGACGGAAAGCGTAACATAGCATGACATAACGTGACCAGAAAGCATTACTATTATTAATATTAAGTGAAAGACAATCTCCTTTGAACATTAGACTTGATTGCGAAACAGTGTAATAAGATCGGCTTTTAAGGGGTGTGTGTTTTGAGAGACAGAGAGAGCGAGATAGCGAACCAAAGATATCTGTAATCGGGGATAACAACAGTAAACCAGTTTGAGATTTAAACCTGTGACTTATTTGTCGGATACCCGTTCCCGACAACAACATTCATACATATGAATGATCGTAGGCGAGATAGGTTATAGTCTTGTTTTAGTATTACCTTTCTTATAATGAACCTAACTTCTTAGTAGTGTTAGATGTGATCCGCATACTTCTCAATAAAATAACCGAATCCTTAATCCGGTCATATTGTAGAGTATTCAATTATACATTAGAAAATAGCTGAATGTGGATCGTCTTGAGTAGAATGGGTTAGACTAAGATGTAAGTGGTTATTTTATATTTCCTGAGGAAAAGACTTTAGGCAAAACCTCCCACTTCATTACAAGCGGGTCTCTACATTTTTCAAGCATATTTTTCCTGATCAAACTGCGCGACAAAGAGGGCGGAAGGCGGTCGTTGATTTTTATTGATTAGTTCGCACAGTCTCGTTAGATACCGAAAAAGTATTGTTCGGACTATCGGCTTCAATGATATCAATATTCATCTCCCGAGTAAATTACTTTATGACATAGTTCTACGGTCAGTTCTACTGTCAAACACTTTTGAAGCTGACCATAAGTCTTTAAAAGTTTTGTATAAAATAGAAACAAACGATAGAGAATGGAGAAAGGATCTATTTAGTTGACTTTTCCTTTGATGAATAAAGTGACTCTCACTCAGACTAAAAGTTTTACTGTTATTCTGTCGTCAGATACCACGAAAGGGTCTCTTGAGAAAATAATAAGCGAAATGGCAAAGATGGAGAGCGAACTGAAAGAAGTGAAGGAAAAGCGGTGTGCTTCGACGGCCCCGGTGGGAGAAATCAAGGATCAAGGTCAGTTGAATTATACAATAACATTTATCCTGCTTAACCGGATATTTAGCAGTAGTCAAAATGTCCAGCATGTGAGAGAGATCATCCTATCATAAGGAGATTCAGTTTTTCAATTTGAACAATTTCTGAAATAGTCTCTGCTGTTTGTTTTCGTTGCTTTCAATGCTTTATATGTGGAGCACAGGTCACAACTGCCCATCAGAAGTTTATTACAATTGTCGTTCAAAAATTGGCTTCTATTGTAACATCAGGAGTGGGGTATGGAAGCCACTGTTCAGCGAATTCCTACCAACCATGAGGTAGTGAATTTTCCTTCCAAGACGTGGCATAAAATTTTCCTTCAAAATTTCACCCGTAATTAATCTCTAAACATTGTAGTTGATAGGCCGTTTTCGTCTGTTTTCAGCTATCAAATGATGGCATCTTTATAACTTGTAACTTTTTTTCTCTATAAAACAGGAAGATTCCAAGAGTCAGTGAGAGAGACACTTACAAGGATGGAGAACGAAATGAAAGAAATGAAGGAAAAGCTGGTTTCCCTGATGGCTTCAGCAGAAGAAAGCAGAGATCGGGGTCAGTCGTCCGAAAGATAGCACAGTTTTAGCTGAAACATTGATATTAAGTTCAGCTCGATGTTAGAAACTAACAGAGTAGGTTCGACTGAATTCATAATCTAACTGGCTTTTTATCAGTAAACTTCAACCCTACACTGATACCTGTTAGCATCGTCCAAGTAATTTCTTTTGCGATGGTATCGTACTCATTCACTTATTTAAATTCATTGCCGAATACCAGAAAGATAACATAATTTTCGACGCCGCGTTCATTGGATTTCTTTTTTTTTTCGCTACTATTAGGTATCTTTGATCCAACTAAGCTTATCAATGGAATTCGCCAGCTTTACAAGACTCGCGAAGGATGGCTCTCACCCTTTCCATGGTGTGAAGAGTTTCAGTTTTTTCTTGGCAATATTTTTACAAGGCTCAAAGTGGTCAGAAGAAAAAAAACGAGAGGAGAAATCACTGACGTATTTGTTGAGATGTCGTCAATACTAGACCCGTATGAAGAGTGTTCAGCGCCGAGAACAGTGTTGATTGAAGGAGAACCTGGTATGGGAAAAACCACCTATTGTAAAAAGTACGCCTACGACTGGGCCACAAAACAGCAAGAACCTCAGGGTTGTGACTCAACAGCATTTAAAGTGGTATTGCTGCTGAAATGTCGAGATATCCATTCTGACGTTTGGGAAGCCATTGATGATCAGCTTCTGCCCCGCGACATCGATGAAGAAGTCAAACAACAATTCTTTCAGTTTATTCGTGAAAATCAGTCCAGCATTTTATTGATATTGGATGGATTAGATGAGTTACCATCCAGCAAATTGTCGATTTTTTCTGAATTAATTGAAGGAAGATTACTCCACAGATGCTACATAGTTGCAACAGCAAGACACGAAGCTGGAAAAGAAGTGAGAAAATGCTGTGATACGCTGCTACAGATCGAAGGATTCTCTGAAAACCATGTAAAAGAATTTGTCACCAAGCACTTTAAAGAAAGGCTGGATTTAGCTACGAAGCTCTCGGAACGGATTTCGCGAGATAAAAACCTGCGAGAAATGGCAGCCAATCCTCTAAACGCAGCACTTCTTTGCCTTTTATGCGAAGAGTTTGAGGGCACACTCCCCGAAAAGAGAGTTCAACTCTATTTGCATATTGTTGAATGTGTTTTGAGAAGATATAGAAATAAGAAGGGACTATTAGAAACGGAAGAAGACCTGAGAAACCATTACAAACCGCAATTGAATCACCTTGGAAAGGTAGCGTTGAATGGTTTACTTAGCGACAAATTGGATTTGAATGAAAGTGAATTGGGAAACCATGCAAAAGATTTGATTGCATTTGGATTTCTGTCAGTGCAGCCTGGTAGCAACAAATTGAGACCAAAACCGCGTTATGCTTTCTTGCATAAAAGTTTTCAAGAATGCTTTGCAGCATTCTATATTTCTTGTCAGATTCAAAGCAAGAAAATTACACCTGAAGAACTAGTTTCAGATCCAAGATATTTCGTTAAACTTAAACAAGTACTTTTGTTTTCATGCGGAATTTTAGCCAACAAATGCGAAGAGCAAGCTGTGGCTCTTGTAAAGAGTTTAACAAATGAAGTCAACAAAAATCAAGGTAATGGTACAAATGTTGTATTGGAGGCCATCAACGAATGTAAAACACAAGGAAGCGATTTTCACTCACAGTTAGCAAAGTTGTTTGGAACTGGTTTGAATTTGACCAATTTGAATTTGTCTTACAATCGTATTAGAGATGCCGGTGTTACATCTATTGCTGAGGCAATCAAAGTCAACAAGACGCTAACCAGTTTACATTTATCTTTCAATTGTGTTATTGACGCTGGTGTCACATCTATTGCTGAGGCAATAAAAGTGAACAAGACGCTGACCAATTTGAATTTGGGTAACAATGGTATCAGTGATGCCGGTGCTACATCTCTTGCTGAGGCAATCAAAGTCAACAAGACACTAACCAATTTGTATTTGTTTAACAATAGTATTAGTGATGCCGGTGCTACATGTATTGCTAAGGCAATGAAAGTCAACAAGACGCTATCCAATTTGGATTTGTCTGGCAATGGTATTAGTGATGCCGGTGCTACATGTATTGCAGAGACAATGAAAGTCCACAAGACGCTAACCAGTTTGAATTTGTGTAACAATCGTATTAGTGATGCCGGTGCTACATCTATTGCAGAGGCAATCAAAGTCAACAAGACGCTAACATGTTTGGGTTTGTCTGAAAATGTCATAAGTTATGCCGCTGTTACATCCATCACAAGGGCAATCAAAGTCAACAAGACGCTAACCGTTTTGGATTTGTCTGACAATCGTATTAGTGATGCTGGTGCTTCATCTATTGCTGAGGGAATCAAAGTCAACAAGACGCTAACCTATTTGAATTTGTCTGCCAATGGTCTAAGTAATACCGGTGCTACATCGATCGCTAAGGCAATCAAAGTCAACAGGACGCTAACCATTTTGGATTTGTCTGGCAATGGTATTAGTGATGCCGGTGCTACATGTATTGCCGAGACAATGAAAGTCCACAAGACGCTAACCGATTTGAATTTGTGTAACAATCGTATTAGTGATGCCGGTGCTACATCTATTGCCGAGGCAATCAAAGTCAACAAGAAGCTAACCAATTTGGATTTGTCCGTCAATGGTATTAGTGATGCAGGTGCTACATCTATTGCTGAGGCAATCAAAATCAACAAGACGCTAACCGATTTGAATTTGTCTCGTAATTGTATTAGTGATGCGGGTGCTACATCTTTTGCTGAGGCAGTCAAAGTCAACAAGACGCTAACCGATTTGGATTTGTCCTCCAATGGTATTAGTGATGCCGGTGCTTCATCTATTGCTGAGGCAAACGAAGTTTACAAGACGCTAACCAATTTGAATTTGTCTTTCAATCGTATTAATAATGTCAGTCCTACATCTATTGTTGAAGCAATGAAAGTCAAGAAGACGCTAACCGAATGGGATTTCTCTGATAATCGTATCAGTGATGCTGATGCTACATCTATTGCTAACGTAATCAGAGTCAACAAGACACTAACTAATTTGAATTTGTCTTCCAATGCTATTAGTGATGCAGGTGCTACGTCTATTGCTGAGGCAATCAAAGTCAACAAGACGCTAACCAATTTGAATTTGTCTCACAATCGTATTAGTGATGCCGGTGCTACATCGATCGTTGAGGCAATCCAACTCAACGAGACACTATTCGATCTAGATCTCTCTGGCAATTTTATTAGTGATGCCGGTGCCACATCGATCGCTAACGCAATCAGAGTCAACAAGACGCTAACCAATTTATATTTTTCTTACAATCCTATTAGTGATGCGAGTGCTACATCTATTGCTGAGTCAGTCAGAGTCAACAAGACGCTAACCAATTTGGATTTGTCTTTTAATGCTATAAGTGTTGCCGGTGCAACATCTATTGCTGAGGCAATCAAAGTCAACAAGACGCTAACCGATTTGGTTTTGTCTGTGAATCGTATTAGTGATGCCGGTGCTACATCTATTGCTGAGGCAATGAAAATGAACAAGACGCTAACCAATTTGAATTTGTGTAACAATGGTATCAGTGATGCCGGTGCTACATCTCTTGCTGAGGCAATCGAAGTCAACAAGACGCTAACCAATTTAAATTTGTCTTTCAATTGTGTAATTGACGCTGGTGCCACATCTATTGCTGAGGCAATAAAAGTGAACAAGACGCTTACTAATTTGAAGTTGTGTAACAATGGTATCAGTGATGCCGGTGCTACATCTATTGCTGAGGCAATAAAAGTGAACAAGACGCTGACCAATTTGGATTTGTCCGTCAATGGTATTAGTGATGCAGGTGTTACATCTATTGCTGAGGCAATCAAAGTCAACAAGACGCTATCCAATATGGATTTGTCTTACAATGGTATTAGTGATACCGGTGCTACATCTATTGCTGAGGCAATCAAAGTAAACAACACGCTAACCAATTTGAGTTTGAGCAGCATCCGTATTACGGATGCCGGTGCTACGTTTCTTGCTGAGGCAATGAAAGTCAACAAGACGTTAACCAATTTAAATTTGTCTTTCAATTATATAATTGATGCCGGTGTTACATCTATTGCTGAGGCAATTAAAGTTAACAAGACGCTAACCAATTTGAATTTGAGTAGCATTCATATTACTGATGTAGGTGCTACATCTCTTGCTAAGGCAATCAAAGTCAACAAGACGCTGACAACTTTAAATTTGTCTATCAATGGTATTAGTGACGCCAGTGCTCTATCTATTGCTGGGGCAATTAAAGTTAACGAGACGCTGTTCAATGTGAATTTGGGTTACAATGGTATTAGTGATGTAGGTGCTACATCTATTGCTGAGTCAATTCAAGTCAACAAGACGCTAACCAATTTGAATTTGTCTCACAATGGTATTAGTGATGCCGGTGCTACATCTATTGCTGAGGGAATCAAAGTCAACAAGAGGCTAACCGATTTGGATTTATCTGATAATCATATTAGTGATGCCGTCGCTACATCAATCGCTAAGGCAATCAGAGTCAACAAGACGTTGAACAATTTGAATTTGCATTGAAGTGATATAAATGATGCCGGTGCTACATCTATCGCTTAGGCAATCAAAGTCAACAAACACCAACCGATGTGGATGTGCGAAAAGACGCTAACCAATTTGAATATTTCTCTCAATAATATTAGTGATGCCGCTGCTACATCTATTGCTGAGGCAATCAAGACGCCAAACAGTTTGAATTTGTATTGAAGCGGTATTGGTGATGCCGGTGCTACATCTATCACTTAGGGAATGAAAGTTAACAAACGCTAACGGATGTGGATTTGTCTGACAATCGTACTAGTGATGCCGGTGGTACATCTATTGCTGAGGCAATCAAAGTCCACAAGACCATAACCAATATGAACTTGTCTTCTAATGGTTTTAGTGATGTAGGTGCTACATATATTGCTGAGGCGATCAGAATCGACCAGACGCTAACTAATTTGAATTTGCGTCATAATGGTATTAGTAATACTGGTGCTACATCTATTGCTGAGGCTATCAAAGTCAACAAGAGGCTAACCGATTTGGATTTGTCTGAGTCGTATTAGTGATGCCCGTGCTACATCTCTTGCTGAGGCAATCAAAGTCTACAAGACGCTATCCAATTTAAATTTGTCTTCTAGTGCTAGTATTGATGCTGATCGTACATCTATTGCTGAGGCATTCAAAGTCAACAAGACGCTAACCAATTTGCATTTGTAGGCAATAGTGTTAGTGATGACACTGCAACATCTATTGTTCAGAGATTGAAAGTCAACAAGACGTTATCCAATTTGAATTTGTCTCACAATGAAATTATTGATGCCGGTGCTACATCTATTTCTGAGGCAATCAAAGTCAATAAGACGCTAACCAGTTTTATAACATAGCTAGCAGAGCCGCGCAATCAAATTCAGTATACGTAAGCGTGCTCAAAATCCCGATAGTGCACGCTGATAGCGTGAGTAAATCGCTTCGCCAGAAATTTTTTTTTTTTCGCGCGAGCAGGCATTGTTAGCGCGGGGAAAAATAATATATTGCGCGACAGTAATTGATACAAACAGAGACTCGGCCCACCAGTCCCAAAACGTAAACAATTTTCCGACCTTTTCCCTTGGGCTAGAGTTCTTAAATGAGGCAGAAAAAGAGAAAAACAACGGAAAAAGAGACTCCGCGAACAATCACTTCTGATATTGATGTCCGTTTTTCGCGTCGGATTTGATGCACAATTCCACAGGCTATGTTATAAAACAATTGGTTCATGCTTTTAGCTGTGCACTATCGAGTTATGGAGCACGTGGGAAATTTGGAGAGCACTAAAGAAGCCAGAGTTGCCCTCGGCTATTGCCTCAGGCAACTCTTACGCTTTTTTCGTGCTCTCCAACTTCTCACGTGCTCCATAACTCGATGGTGCACGCCGAAGCATGAACCAATTGTCAATGAATCTGTCTTTCAATGTTATTAGTGATGCCGGTGCTCTATCTATTGCTGAGGCAATCAAAGTCAACAAGACGCTAACCAATTTGAATTTGTCTGAAAATGGTATTATTGATGCTGGTGCTACATCTATTACTGAGGAAATCCAAGTTAACAAGACGCTAAACAATTTGGATTTGTCTTCTAATGGTATTAATGATGCCGGTGCGTCGTCTATTGCTGAGCCAATCAAAGTCAACAAGACGCTTACCAATTTGAATTTGTCTTCTAACTGTATGAGTGATACTGGTGCTAAATCTATTGCTGAGGCAATGAAAGTCAACAAGACGCTTACCAATTTGGATTTGTCTGAAAATGGTATTATTGATGCCGGTGCTATTTTTTTTGCTGAGGCAATCAAAGTGAAATTAATTTAAATATAAAGTTGGTGAAGCTGAGGAGTTTTATCTAATTTTACTTAGTTGCACTTGACTTAGGTTACATTTAAGTTATTATAGCTACCTTTGTGATGTTTTCTTCATTTACGGTAATGCTTATGCCTCTGAGGTATTTACCTCGGAAGAAAAGATGAAGTATAACACGCCATTGTTTTTAGAGTTTTGTTATTAAAGGAATATCATAGCTATGTATCATCCGCTGCAACAACATTCTTTCCATTTTTTTCCAAGCTTCGAGCGCCTCTCTTTCAATGTAAACTAAAACCACAAAATTTATAGGCAATTTCTGTTGCGATCTGCAGAGCCATTAAATGAAATTTGACTATTGAAAGCTTCTTAAAGGGGAGGTGTGTGGGGAGGGGGGATGTGTAGGGGCGAGGTGGAGACACAGTAGGGGTGACAGAAACAAATTGTGTTTTGGATAACTCGAAAATAGTAATGTACTGCCGGCAGATGCTTGTTCCCACGAAGGTTTGGGACTTAATGACGAGTTAAATGATATGCGATTCGGCAGGCGAGGAAGCATAGCCTCAGAAATGAAGGGATGATTGTCGGTTTCCCACCTGTTATAAGACCCTGGGGAAATTAGGTGTCTGCAGAAAGATAAGGATTGGTACCAATTATAAATTCTTTCGTAGAGGGACTTGCAGATAGAACTTGGTCCAATAAATTGTAACCAAATCGTATTAAAATATCTTGCAAAGGAGCTCTTTTAAATATAGAGCTGATAAGGTGTTTTCACTTTTCGAATTTATTCGATTAAACGCCGCGGCGTTTATTCAATTTTTCGTAATTCGAGGGTGGCGTTTCTTCGAGGACGGTGTTCATTTAAAATCCAACTTATTTCTTGGAATCAATCGTATGATAACTGACCATTTTTATTTTAAAAACCAAAAGCATGTTTTAGTGCTTGTTCTTAATTTCAAAATTTGCATGTTAATACTACTGCAATACATAAAGTGAAATAAAGTGGTTATAGTTCATTCAATTTCAATGTCTCTGTCCTCTTGATGATTCGGATCCAAAAGATGTAATGTCGGATATGCTTCCTCGAAATAAACACTGGTACATTCAAAGGGATTCGTGTCTGGTTCACTCAGAATTTCCAATTGCGATCGAAGCATTAATCGTCCGCTGCCACATGGCTGTCGTTCCTTGAGGCAGTGAGTCACGTGGCCTTTCGATATACGGAAAGATTCAACGCGCAGCTTCAAAAAGTTTTTTTTATGACTTCTGTGGGTAGCTGTGCCCAAGAATCAAGATTCTACTGCAAAATGGTTCTTCTCGGGATGCATTCAAATTTTCAGCAGCAGTTTCTTCGTGAATTCCCACGGTACCCAGCCATTAATCATTCCTTTCTAGAGCAAGCAGCCTTGAACGGCTTGTTCTAAGAAACGTCCGGTGCCTGGATATGCTTGGTGGACCCTCCTTTTGTAACATGAACGCCATCCTGGCTGGGCGGGTCACCCGACCTTGAGACGTTTACGTAGCAATACTGTGACCTCGACTGACAGGATTACCCTACCCAGCAGATCGGGCAACCTTCCTAGACCGGTCACTCCACATCTCATGTAAACGTGATCAAAATAAATTAAAGATTATATGGACAGGTGGGTTACCTTACAGGTTCTCCACCTCCATGTAAACAGGCCCATAGTAGTCATTGATCTACTCCTTGAGTCTATTTTTCTTGTAAACGCCACGTCATGATGCGGCGTTTATTCGAGGGCGGCGCTTATTAATATCTCTGCTCTAAAATACGGCAATTATACGAGAGAGGCCTTCATTCGAGGACGGTGCTTAATCAAATAAATGTTGCACATCACCTATAAAGACAACAAATTTCAGAACGTAAACCGACATCTCCGAAGTCATATAATGCTCCTTTAAATTTTAATTTTGAAATCAGCCGTCCACTGCTTACAACTCTGAAAAATATTTTTGGACGATTACCGCTTGCTGACAAGTCTCTCCAATTGATTGATTTTTGAACCGGGTTTATATTTTCAGGTTATATTTTCTTAAGATTATGCCCGAAGAAAGATTATTTACTGAAACACAATCTACACGATCTTTGCTTCTTACCGATCGCGCCATGTTGTTTTTGTAACCTAACACCTTCGAGCATGCTCAATGTCACCTATCTTCATGTTTAAGAATAAGGTCGACTTTCACGGGTGTCCTTCGCGACAAAAATATACTGTTAACGCCTAGTTACAGCGTGACCACCATAAACCACAATTAAATTTCTGCACAATTCCGGTCCAGAGGGGTTGCTCTTCAAAATCGTGCGGGGATTTTTTGATATTGCTATTTGTTGCTTTGCAATTTTCCTGTCTAGTTTGCTTACCAAAATTTTACCAATTTCGAAATACGGAATTCCCTTACACAGTTTTTTTTATATAATTTGTTATCTTGGGAGTCTTCTGACCAAATTTCAAGGCAATTCGTAAATTTCATACCCTATTAATTTCTTATCGTCCATAGCTTCATCCATAGCGGTACTACACAACATCAGTCGTGTTTGCCTAATTCTTACGACGGTTCTTCCAATACGTGATAGTGAAAAAGTTTTTACTACTGGCTGGAGGTACAGCTGGCATATTTTGTCGACTTTGCCCATATTGCTTTTCTGCACTCTAAACGAGTCGCACACTCCTTGGAATTACTATTTTCTTGAATAACTGTACATTTTTTTTATTTTTTTTATTTAGTCTTGTACCTCTAGCTGGTAGGAATTAGAAATCAGTTAAGAAAACAATTTTGCCATGCAATCATCACTTAGTAGAAATGTAAGTCTTCTGTGTCCTCTACTTCATTCTATTTGTACAAACAAACACACCCTGCACAACTATTTTCCCAGCTTTGGTCCTATATTTCTTTTTTTTAATTTTTCAACTATTTACTTTCTCACCTCAGGGCAGCCTAAGGTCACAGAAAACTGGCTTCTACAGGCTCATGGAATAACATATCTTCAAACATTACAATCACGTGTTTGTTACCTAAGCATTTTTTCTTCGTTGCTCATCAGCTGCATACCTGTCAGAGCCCTGA